GGGTATTAAACCAGATCCCGAGCTCGACTAATTAACTGGATTTGCAGGACCGAGCCCGAAGCAAACCCGAATTTTTTTTAGTTTTTTTTAAGGAGTTCTTTGAATTGTCATTGCAAGAGTTTAGTACAGTATTTGTTAGTTTAGTATCCACACATAGTTTTAGTAAATATTTTTTTATAAACATATATTTATTTGAAAAAAAAAGTCAGCGACAGAGAAACCCCACCCGAACGTAGTGATTAACATTTCAGGCCCGAATTTCGGGTCGGGTCGGGCTTCAGATCGTAGCTTCATCCTACAGTGACTGTTTGCACAAAACTTGGAGTCAAAGGGGTGGAAACTTGACATTGATGTAATTCAGTTGCGACAGCCGCGATGTTCAAGAGTTATATCCCAAGCTATCAATACCCTGACAGATGGGTTGCAGTAGTTAAATTTGTTGAAAACTGAATAGCGGGATCGCATGACATCGCGGGGGCGTTAAATGATTCATCCTAAAAATATTTTCACAATCTGCAATGCACGGAATGAAGCGTTACCGCGAATTTATCATTATTTTGTGCATGACAGATTGCAAAAACATTTTTAGGATGAGTCATAATTCGAATTCCCGCGCTTTTTATGGATCTTTGTCACATCATAACACGCTCCAGATGTTTTGGATGTTATTTAAAATCTCCCGTGTGACTCAGAACACAAGACAAACGCCTCGTAATTGTGATTCGCCTAGTGGGGCTAATTCATTCACATATTTAGGGTATGACTACTTGACAATTACTCACTACGGTTCTTAAACCCAAGGCGGCATTTTTGAACCGGCCACGTGACCATGTTTGACCAATCACCGTTTATAGATGAATTGAATAAAAAAAGCGAGTCTGAACCCTTAAAGCGCTATTCCAAATAAAAGTGTGGTTTCATGCTTAAAATGCTTTAAAAATTGGGGAGCTTAAGGACACGTCATGTTTAAAATTGATGGACGACGGCGGGTAAGATTAAGAATGACTCAACAACCAACGACAATATGACATTGTTTTCAATTTGGTGAATTGAGATTTCAAGCAGCTGCCGCTCTTTGGGAGTGGTAGATATTTTACCATTGGCGATAAAACTAATTATACCTTATATAAATCTAAATAGGAATAGCATGATCTCTATTCACGAAATATCAAGTATATTTGTAGGTTTCATTACATTTGAACCCACGTACATTTGAACCCATGACAATTGCACCTGTATGCAATTGCACCTATGGAATATTTTTGGATACCATACTAACCCTAACCCATGGGTTTTAGCACCCGCATATAGATTGAACCCGTGGATATACGCATGGGTTCAAATGTACATGGGTTCAAATGTACGGTCACCATATTTGTAAGCTTTCGTTAGAAATCTAGCGAAACAAGACATAGCTGCAAATATGAAAGCTCAATAGTGAGTTAAAGTTATTATAATAAATTTTGAAAATATTAGAGATGGGTGGAAATTGTGGGAAATATGTACCCCTCCCCCCACGTCTCAAAATTAGGGGTGTGAACAATTAGGAAGAATGTCCAACTTCCCTCACCTCTCATATCACTGGTCAATATTTATTTTGCACCGAGTGGGCGTATCGACAAAATAATGCGCTCAACATGCAAATCACCCTGGCCTGCGCACACGTTTTTTGCATATACTCGCTCTTCTACAATGACTCCTTACGTTTGGGTGTCCGCCCTATACTGGTCGTGAGTGTGTCGTAACGCCCATCAACAAGCCATATCAACTGTGTAAAATTTCCCGCTAAAAACACTTCCGGGTACGACACCTGTCTTCCGACATAAAGGTCACCTAATTAACTGACCCGTAACAAACTTTTCTGATCAAAATGATTACAGTAAATGTAGAAGAACATTGACCTGTGAACGCTCGTGATGCGTTGTCCATCTGCTCAAAATTTGTGTTTTTCTGATTTTGTGATTTATCCATAAAAAAGCTAGTTTCGGAGTTTTTGAGTCATAGATGGATTAAGTGTGGGAGAGGGCATTATAAAGGGATGGTATAAGATTGTACAGTTTGAGTTGAAATTGCATGTCTGCTGCCTCACCAAGAGTGTGAAAAAATGGGTAAATTATAAGGTGACCGTACATTTGAACTATGTACATTTGAACCCATGTGTAGTTCCGCGGTTTCAATCTATATGCGGGTGCTAAAACCCATTGGTTAGGGTTAGTATGGGTTCAAATATCCGTAAAACAAAAAAAAATTAGATGCATAGGTGCAATAGTATGCAGGTGCAATTGTCGTGGGTTCAAATACACGTGGGTTCAAATGTACACGAATTTAAATGTAATGGAACCAAATTATAATCATTACAAATAATTTCTTGGAGTTTTGAATGATAGAAAGCAAGTTTAGTTCAAGGCAGACAGGTGCAATGAATTGGGTAGACAAAGCTGAACAGGAATGGTCCCATTTTCTCTAGAAAATCTGGCTTCTTAGATAAAAATGGTGCCACCATATCTAGGGAGTAATAAACAGCGTGGGATACCAAATCGAAAATTTGCCGTTGCTTTCACAATAGCGGCCGATAAGGTATAGGGATTCCATCGATCTGGAACCCAAAGGACGACTGGAAAAACTTCTGCATTGTAAGCAGAAATAGCTGGCTTTCCTATGACTTCCAGGTTAATGTCACTATTACAGACGTCACAGTGTGCGAAGCACTCACCCTGCAAGCTTCGTTTAACTTTGAATTCTTACCCGTACTCATTACGAAAAACGTTCTTACGTTTGCTTTTTTTAAATTAAGCTAAAATAACCACCACGACAAAACCTAAGGATCGCCACACTTACAATGATTCATGCCTATCTGTGCCTCGCTCTTTGTGTTCCAAATAAGATTGTGTTGCTTTTATGATGCCACAATAAAGCTAAGGACACGCAAGGCAAAAAATAAGGACAAATTTTAGAAATAAGGACGGTATGGAATCCCTGGGTATAAGTGTTGCCACCGTATCCAGAGTGTATTGAAAATAGTAGTAAATACCGAATCAGGAAAATCAGGATTTTTTTTTAGAAATAGTAGCATTTATCAGTACTATAACTAAGTCAGTGTGTATTAAATTGAGTAGGTAATTGTGATTCAAATATATTTCGGTCTTTCTAGAAATTTTAGATACTTACGTAACAGGGCTACTTGCACAGTGCCAAGTTCAGAGCGAAGTTGCAAAAAGGTATTATAAGAAAAAACTCTAATTTCTAGTTTATCCTACAATAGGGAACATTGTACCCAAATAATGTTATAGCGCCACCTATTCTAGCAACCATTGCAGCAAAATATATGAGCAAAGTCCGCTGAGATATTTCGCAAGTCGGGCATTATTTTAGGTCCAAAGTCCGTTTCATAACATCGAATACAAACGCAGAAACGAAAAATGCGAGTCATCTTCGATCGATATTGTGACGTCACACAATAATGTCATCAATAATTAAAATGGTTGAGGTTATTAAAGCGCCGATGCTCAAATTTCTGCCATTTTGATGGCGGCGATCTCCGGGTAGGCTACACGAAACGAGACTCAATTTGGGAATACAATATGGAGGAATTCTCTAGCGATAAAATCGTCGACGCGCCCGTCTTGCTTCGATTCATTTCACGTAAATGCCTTTGCTTATTTTAGTCCATTGGTTCCCAAACTGCGAGCGGTAAAATAATTTCAGTGTGTCGCAGAATTTGAGTCTGTTTCCGTAAAATTATCTATTATTTGCTTGCATTTAAAACTTGGCACAAAATAAGTTCAAATTAAAGTACGGCTCAGGATATCGGATATCCAAAAAAGTTATGATCGTTTTTGTATACAAAGACAATCTCATGTATCGCATTTCTTTAAAATTTTTCTCGATGTAGTTTGACATTATTAAGCAGTGATTCTCAAACGCTGTGGCGCCCTAAAAGAGGGCGTAGTCAATTTTTCGAGGGGGCGTAAAGCTAATTACAGAATGTAGGTTAGATTTGATCTTGCCCGCCTTATTCTGGATATTTACATTTATTTATTTTGGATATTTACGCTCTATTCACGTATTTCCACCTTTTTTTTAATAAAACATACTTCAACCATACTATCTGTTATTGGACACGAAGTGGACATAACGATCGTTTCAAAATTTTGTTGTTATTGTTATTGTTATTTGTCTCCATCTCCATTTTTAAAAAATCGCTTTTCTCTTCGAATACTGGACCAATTGCTTTGAAATTTTGAAGTTTTCAGTGGTTAAAATTTTTCTCCAGAAGGCTATTACTTTTTTTTTCGCTATGACGTCATCAAAATTATTGCCATTGGGTGGCGCTACGTGTCCATATATTTGAGCATAGCTCTCTTGTTTGTAGCATATTGTTATCTAGTTATTTTTGAGGTGGGCGCAAGACTAGACAAATTCTAATACGGGGGCGCGGCTTAAAAAGTTTAAAATCACCGTTATAAAGTGATCTTTTCAATGCGTCGCGATTTGTATAAGTACATGCAACGTGGATTTGAAATGTTTGAAAACTCAGCATGCCATTTTTCTTATACGCATCGCGACTATTGAAAAGAGTATTTTACTTTCTAACAGTACTTCTGGAACATTTTAAGCTTTATGTTATTAGTTGTATCATGTATTTTTACAAATTTTATTCGCCAATTGTAAATTATTGGAATGAATCATTTTATTCGAAATGCTGGTGTAATATATTTGTGTGTATTGTTATATTTAGGATTTTGTAGAGTGCTGTGAAGCATTAGAAAGTAAAAATATCAAATATGTGACGTCATAATACAACCATTACATCACAAAGTATAACGTCATTGATACAAAATGACGTCATACCAAAACTCAATTTCAAAATTGCCTCCAAAGTAGCGATACGGGGGTGACACGCCTGCTCGTTTTCGAAAAGATCAGCTCCACCCACGGTATCTGTCACTATGCATCAATGAACATTTTTCCGAAAATTATTCTGTCTGCTTTATTCTTAGGTGGAGGAGAGACGGGCGATAGCTCATCGTCTGAAACGGATAAAAAAACGACAGAACCAGATCTTGATGTGGAAGGAATGACAAAAATATTCGGTGAGAAATTTAATTATTATTCAATTTTCGTAAAATTGATGAACATTTTTAGCCTTAAATTTTGGGTAGCATTGATGGTTAAAAAACGTTTAAAGCTACAAAAAATAGGGACCTACAGGGATATGCGCACCAAGATGGCGCACAACCTGAACATAGTATGTGTGTATCGGTTAGGATTCAGGTTGTGCGACATCTTGGTGCTCATACTTCTGGAACACCAAAAATAACTATGTATGAAAGACGAAAATGCTTTTTCTTTTTTTACATTTAATAAAGGAAGGTTTGGCTCTCAATACCTTCCCTGGCTTTGCCAATGAACCTAAAATCTTCTCGGAATCGGAACCAAAACTTGCTGAAGCTCCTAGGTCAGGGTTGTCCAAACCCAGGCCCGCGGCCACATGTGGCCCGCCGCTACATTATCTGTGGCCCGCGCCGCATTGGCGGGAGAGTGAAAAAACGCATTTGGTGTTGTTTCGTCATGAAAATGTTTTTTTTGCAAGTTTTAGTGGGTTTTTAGCATTATTTAGCTTGATAAATGACAAATAATGAAAAGCGTTTGTTTTGTATAGCACTGTTTACCTATTCTTAACACTAGTGTGGCCCGCGAACAATATAAAAATAATAGTGTGGCCCGCGAGGCCGACAACTTTGGACCACCCTGCCCTAGGTCAATGTTTCCAAGCCTTTTTTCAAGCGGCCCAAATTAAAAAAAAAATGATTTTTTTTGCATGTCTTGCGACCCAAGAATATTCTTTAATACTATGAGAAACCTGTGTCTTTATGGCCGCAAAATTAAAATACTAATATAAAACATCCATTTTCTCAGAAATCACTTCAAAGTGAGAAAGTTGCCCTTGTTTGCCATCAGTGAGTTATTGAAATCGTGGCGTTGCTTTGGGCAAAATAGATGTTACGCAACACTTAAACTTACTGAAAAATGAAATCTGTAATTTTCAACTTTTTTTTGTATAAATTAGCGACCCAAGAAGATTTTCATAGGACTCAGTTCCGGGTTGCGACCCACAGGTTAAGAAGCACTGCACTAGGTCACCGCGTATTCACTTATGAATTATCTTTTTCAGGAACATGCAAATGGTTCAACGATGCCAAAGGATTCGGATTCGTGTCGGTTGATGATTCGTCGACACTTTCCGGAGATGAGGAGGGAGAAGAGGGGAAACCCCGACCGGATATATTTGTTTATCAGGTGAGAACAAATTATTATTCGAGGTACATTATGCACCGAACTTTCGGTGTCACTGGTTGAAATATTGAGCATTTGTTCCCCAGTAGATTGTGTGTTATTTTTTCTAATTTTGCATGCTAGTTTTTCCCTGAATGGAAAAAATAAACTTGACCTTGACTAGTATCAGATATCTAAGCCATTACCTCATAATTTGGTTGCCTTAAGCAGATACTCCTTCTCACAAAATTTGAAACATTTCTGGTGTTTGACAGTTTTATAGCACACAGCTGCTTCGGAATTTGAATTCTGGCAATAAAAATTCCGAATTAAGAAAAATCGTGGAAATTTTTAAAGGTGACTGGTGTCACCAGACTTCCCGTTCTGTCTCCAGTCTCCCTCTCCTTAAGGTTGAAAAGTTCAATTCAAAATGGAATGTTTAGGAGGATCTTGCTGTCGTGATATTGTCTCTGACAACTGAATAGACAAAATATACGCGTTAAAACTAGGGCCTAAAAGAAGGCCTTCCGATTTAACATAAAATATAAATTTGTTTATGAAAAGTAGGTAGCGTCTTACTAATTCTGTTTATCATAGACTGGGACGACAAGTTAGGTTAGGGTTCCATTACATTTGAACCCGTAATTTGAACCCACGACAATTGCACCAGCATACTGTTGCACCTATGGAAATTTTTTTACGGATATTTGAACCCATACTAACCCTAACCCATGGATTTTAGCACCCTAATATAGATTGAACCCGCGGATATACGGGTGCAAATATATGGGTTCAAATGTACGATCACCCAGGTCAAGACATTGCAGCATCTTTTATTCTCTCTTCTGCTAGTGCATAAAAGATATAAGATTTAAAACATGTTTAAGAAGTGGTACTCCTAAAGTATGCGCAACAAGAAGTCGCATAACCTGAACCCTAACCTGGTACACCAGGGGTGGCCAACACGTCGATCGCGATCGACCGGTCGATCGCCACGTCTCGAGAAGTCGATCGCGTCTGATGTTGAGTGAATTTAATAACATACCGGTACCCTAATTGCCACTCTAGACCCAGTTTTGTGTGGCGATTTCATTAAAAATGCGCCCACACAGCCGAACTTATTGGCAGCGATGTAATTTTTCGTATACATTTTTGCAGTTATCTGCATATTCAGCACTCATTCGTTTTTGTGTATGACCTCATTACCGATCAGTCGATCGCGAGCTATTTTGAAGATTTTAGTCGATCGCGGCCGAAAGCAGGTTGGCCACCCCTGCGGTACACAATCTGAGTTCAGGTTGTGCGCCATCTTGGTGCGCATATTTCTGGAGGTCCCGTAGTTTTATTGGTGTATGATTGATTTCAACCGGGATTCGAGAGTCAGATTCGATTTTGAAGTTTCCAGTCTCTACATTCTTGAGAGGAACGCAGAATAATGATTTCTTCATACGAAAATCGAATAAAAAAGCCATACTCACTGACTATCATAGAACCGTGAAAACTGAAATTACTAAAGTTTTAAATTGCAAATAGTTAAATAGAAGCTTGAGCGCTCCGGAAGTGTGTTTACCAATATGGAGGTAAATAACTTTGTTCGCCTATTTTACATCAAGTTGTGTAAAGGGACTGAAACCTATGGACGGGGGATATCTTCACTTGACTAACACAAACAGTTCACGAACTCGTAATAAAACTAAAATAAGGTATATCGGAATAAAATTATGGCCTGACCTGGTACACACACGCAGGAGTACTCAAACCTGAGTGTCGCTGCTCGATAACTAGCTTTGGTATCCAACCCCGGTACCACTATGTGCTATTTTTTCGGTAAATATGAGACGGCTTGTGTTTTATTGATTTTGAATATACAATCGACCATTTCTGATATCGATTGCTGTTAAAACTAGATTTTTTGTGAGCGTTTATTGACTCTGGTCATTTCTTAAGCCAAGTAATCAGACCACGTGGTAATATCAAACATCAAGATTTCAAAATATTTTTGGCGGGAAATTATATCACGTAACAATGGATATGTAGGTCAGCTGACAAAAGAACGGAAAAGCTTAACATTAAGTGTACTTTGTATAATATTAACCCTTTCTTGCCATGAAGCCAACTAGTCAGTTTCGCTCAGGAATATCGTTTAAACGAAAACTGAATTTTTTAAAAATATAAACTACTTTACGCATATAAACAAAAGTCGGCACCCGAAGAAGTATTTGTACCAATATGGAAGTAACTAATTTTATTCGCCTACTTTAAATCAAGTTGTGTAAAGGGACGGGAGCCTATGGATAGGGGGGATTTCGCTCTCCCAGCGACCACCCTTTACCTTTGTATGTTCTTCTTTCTAGAGAATCTATTGTGCTACCGTATAGATAGCACGTTGGCACTCTGGTTGATATGTGGTCCGGTCGGCCATTTGTATAACCTTCGCCGTTGGGGCTTTTCGTTTGAGATATTGTCAGCCGGTTTGATTTTAGGACATCAACATTAATGCAAAAATTTTTATGATATAAGTTGAATTTATTTTCCTTTTCCCGCCCTCGAATACACGGATTCAGTTCAATGCGACCCTATTTACAACAGTTTTCCGCGTGGGAATTTTCACATCAAATTCTGCAAAGTTCTTGTCGTCAAAGTGTTAATATTATTCTTGGGAGATTCGAGAGTTCCCGACCTCGAGTGACCATCGGTCATTTTATACGGTATACGAGTTTATACAGGTTTCCCACGGCATAGCAGTTCAAGCGTCTGACTGTTACTTAGCATTTTGTTAAAAGAAAATGGGTACTCTCGTACTGTGTGAACCAAGATGGCGGACACCGGAACGTAGTATGTATACCAGGATAGGGTTAGACCATAATTTCATTCAAATTTTCCTTATTTCAGTTCTATTACACGTTCGGGGACTAGCCAAGTGACACCCGTAGTATTTGTACCTGGAATTATGGCCTAACCCTAACCTGGTACACATACTACGTTCCGGTGACCGCCATCTTGGTTCACATACTTCGGAAATACCAAAAATGGTAGCATTTCACATATCAGCCGTTGTATAGACCAGGAGTATACTATCTTTATTCTCTCGTGATCATTTTCATCGTCTTTTCGTCGTCCTCCTGTATCAGAATGGAAACTCAATGCTTAACTCCAAATCCTCAAAACTCACGTGTGTTCCCGAGGGAACTCGTAAAAAACCACTAGTTAGAATAGCATATTGTTCATAGTGCGCATTGTTCTAAGCATTGATCAGATCGCAATAATTTTCCCCCTGAATTTTATTATTTTAATATATTAATTTTTATTGTTCCGCGTGGGATATTTCGAAAAGTCTATGTTTTCACTTTTTCAGGATGTAATAAAGATGCCTGGCTTTCGAAGTCTTCGGAAAGATGAAAAGGTAGAAGTCTGGTACAAGAAGTCATCCAAAGGTTTGGAAGCTGTGAAAGTAGCCGGTCCCGGCGGCGCTGATTGTCTGGGAATGGAAAGAAGACCAAAACGAAGGAAAAAAGCAGACAAGTGGGTTGATATCACATTTGTAAACTACAAGGTGGTCGTTAAAAAAGCAGAAATTTGTTAAACAGCTAAATATTTTTTTACAAATGATGATTTGAAAACGAGCTTAAAACGATATCCCTCAAGTTAGGTTTTAAAACGCTAAACGAGCTTGGACTTTAGGGTTAACCGACTGCTCTGAAGTGCGCGGATGATATTTTGAGCATCTATGAATGTAATGAATAACGTATAATGCAGCGGTGGGCAACTTCTCTAGTCGGCGGGCCAGATGTGAAAAATGAAGTCCTCGGGGGGCCGGATTATTACATGAATAGTATTCAATATCTTAATCACCTATTTATTCGCTAATGCAAGAAAGAAAATTATAAATTGCGTTTAAAGTAAAGTTTAAACTTTACAAACAATAGAGACCAAAAAACACATAATGAATTTATTATAATCTACTAAAAGTGTATTAATGTAATATCATAATGTACTGATGTACAGTAAGTGCGCCGGTCAAAATCTCGTCGCGGCCCGGATCCGGCCCGCGGGCCGTATGTTGCCCACCTCTGGTACAATACGTTGTGAAGTTTTCTGTGTAAAATTAAAAAGTTGTTCCACAAATTTTCTGCTTTTCTAGCAACCACCAAGTAGTTATTTCTGTCTAGCGATAACTCACTCGGAGAGGTTAAAATATTCTTTCCCAATGATATCTAATGGGTGTTTTGGCACGATTGAACAAGAAGAAATAATTTCGAATGTGTGTGGGGGGAAGGGAGGGGGGTGCCCCTCAAATAGACTAAAATGTTATTTTCCAATGATATCTAATGAGTGTTTTGGCACAATTGAACAAGAAGAAAAATTTTGAATGCATGTGGTGGGGAAGGGAGGGGGGTGTCCCTCAAAGAGGCAAAAATGTTATTTTTCAATGATATCTAATGAGTGTTTCAGCACGTTTGAAAATAAAAAATAATTTACTCACTCCAACACTCTGAGCCCACGTCATCCAACTGAGAAAAATTTAACCCCCCCACCCCCCCAATAAGGGATTTTGTCGTTCGTTCTTTGGGAAGAATTTTGGCTTGTATTTGCTGTGGTATTGCTAATATTCTTTTTTATTGCTATAATACTTATTTATGCACACATTAAAGATGGCGCTCCAGAAGTGTGTGTACCAATATGGAGGTAACTAATTTTGTTCGCCTACTTTACATCAAGTTGTGTAAAGGGACTGACACCTATGGACAGGGGGTATAATCACTTGTCTAACACTGGCAGTTCCCGAACTCGTAATAGAACTAAAACAAGGAAAATCGGAATAAAATTATGGCGTTAATTATGGCATAACCTGGTACACACATTAAACAAAGCGAGAGTGTGACTTGCGCTTATCAGTAGCTGAAGATCCATCAAATTCAGATTGAAGAAACAAACTACTTTGTATGCTAAGGGAGGGAGGAATCCCAACGAAAAAGGTTGGCAACCACTGCCCTACACCGGAAAAAAACTGAAAATTTTTTTATTTTCCAGATGCTACAATTGTGACATGATAGGGCACCATGTAAAAGAATGTACGAAGCCACCAATGGCAAAACGATGTCACCATTGCAAATCCTATTTGCATCTAGTTGCTAAATGCCCAATAAAACACCCCCACCTTGTGGCAACCGGAAGTACTTCAAATCAAGTTTACGGAACTGAACAACAACAACAACAACAACTACCTCATTCAAATGGCCAATCTACCTCAAACCAGTCCTCTACCTCATCTAGTGGACAATACCAAGAGCCTAGATATGGTTAAAGTGGTGAAACTGACTTTACAAAGCCCACACGGGACATTGCTGCTTAGCTGTGCCTGTCTGCATAGCAGACAAGGTTTAAAAGGCACAGATACATGAGCTGAGTTTGAACAAACCAACAAAGGGGTCTGACGACTTAGTCAATTGGTCATTTGTTTTATTTTTCCTTGAATGAGGACTTTTTAGTGAGTACTTCATGAAACCAATTGCCATTTTTATCGCTATAACGTAATTTTAAATTCAAAAATTTCGCCTAAAATTTCATATGGGCCAATCATTTTATGGCTAAACCGAATCCACACAATTTTCACCTCCACACTCGAAGAGTGACATATTTCGATGACGTCAGTTGATGACGTCACATTTGTAATAGGCTTCACACGCCACTGTGCGAAGCTCTTCATTTGATGGTACAATATATCACGACACCTCAAAATAAAATATCCGCAGTATTCGATTCTCTCATTTTGCTGTGTTCAATCAACCGTAACCTCTCTCTCGTTTTTTCTACCTCAACAAAATTGACCAAGAATAGTGAATGTCGTCACAATTACATTTGAGACACATGCATGAACACAATTTTCATTGGAAAATCATGGTTTTGTGACACTAGGGGCACAATGGAGTTAATTTTTATATTTTAATACCGAATACCTCAATTTTTCCGCGTAGGACGAAAATAAAATCTTTTGAAAGAGCTGGTTTGAAGCTAATCAAACAAAGATTGGCAGATTTTGGCGGGAAATATACAATATTTTGCTGGAATATACAATTTTTGTTGGAAAATATACAATATTTAGCGAGAATACACATTTTTTGGTGGGAAATATACAATATTTCGCATGAAAAATACTATTTTGGGGAGAAATATAAAATATTTGGAGAGAAATATTTCAATTTTGGCGGGAAAAATATAACGTATTGTGGCGGGATATATAAAATATTACGCGGCAAATATACATTATTTGGCGGGAAATATGAATATGATCAACCGAAGTGCAAACGCTTCCTTTTTGTCTTTTTTTTTCTTGTTTTATTTTACTTCTTTTTATGAATTGGGGAGGAAATAGCAAAATCACAAATTGTAGAAATGTACACAGTTTTGTGTTTTTTTTTAAACTCTCTCATAAATTTGAAAACTTGACAAATATTTAAATTTACCCTCACCCTTAAATTCAAAGTTTCAAATATGAAATTAAATTCTTGCTTTTACGAGTATGAAGTTCTGCAGAAGTCGTTAAATTTGTGTTTTAAAAACTTCGATTTATTGTTTTACCCTTTAAAAATTTTCAACTAAAAATTGATTAAACATAAAAAGGATTCATTACCAACATAGTCATTGACTATACAAGGCAAAATTTTTGTTTGTGTGCAGGTGTTATTCCACGCAACCATTGCGTTTGATCTCAGGGCCGTTTGTGTTTTGTTTGTACATTTTTTGTTGCTGCCTACAATATGATGTTCAATATGACGTCATTAATTCATGTCGCTATAATTACATGACGTCATATTTTGTTTTGTTCGTGATTATTCAATTTTGTTAGAATTGTTGTCTGTTCGAACACATATTACGTTCTTGTCCTATTTCGGGGGTAATTTTGTATTGTCTCTTTAGATAGACGCAATATTTTCGTTAGTAGAGAAACTCCTAAGAACAAGGTATTGGTTGTATTGTAAGTAAAGAGTAAAACCTGTTTCCATAACAGTCCAATAGCCCTCTATGGAGGAGGCCATTCAAATGGCAATCACGACCATATATCCATCCTTACACATAACCTGCTGTCTTTATAGCAACCCAATAACCCTCTTATGGAGGAGGGCATTCATTTGGCAATTAGGACCAAATACCCATCCTTTTTCCTAACTGTTTTGTTTCTAGAATGTACTCACCGGATTCAGTATTCCGGATTTCAAATTCAACCGACTCAAACCACTTTAAATGGTTTTTAGAAACCCATTTTTAATTATGGGTTTGTAATTTTTGATTTGAGATAACGAGATAGAAAAGCACCGGCCAACTTTATAAGATAATTAGTATCATGAGTTTAGGAAGCATTCTATAGAATCGCGAGTGTTTGTTACCAACCTATTTCATAGTAAAGCATGCATTACTGGTAAGAAGGAGACAACTTTTCGAACGTTCATTTCGTCTTTACCAGTTGTTCTCAACATTTTTTTCATTGCTCACTTTTGTTGCGCAAAATTTTGTGGCTCATTAAGTTTTTTATATAAGGGAAAAACTACAAGAAAAATGAAAATTCTTTCTGCGAAAACAGACGCTTCCACTTAATATTTAAAAAAAGGAACGATTTTCTCAACCATTGGCCATGGCCCATTTCTGGGCCACAAAAAGATTTTCAGAAACAAATGATAATGCTGTTATTTTACTACTAAATGGTAATTTCACTATTTAATTTTTCCCTTGCATGAGATAGTTAATGAGCCACAGAATTTTTGTGCAACGGAAGTGGGGTCACCCAAATGAACAGGTCAAAAGACTATTTCCGCTTTCATTTTGACCATTTCCGCTTTCATGTGTTTCAAACAATTTTGAGTGTTATTTTTCCGCATGGGAATTTTTTACAATCTGATAAAATTTACGGATCAAAAACTTTTTTTACTTTTACGGAGAAAATTGTAACTTCCAAACATTTAAGAAGTAATGTTTCGGTCTATAAACTGCTATAACTGCAAATCTACCTCAATAATTTAGGAAATAAAACAGAAATTATTATTAAACCATGCCCGATCATTTTCTGCCAGTACCGGATTTAATTGAAATTTGTATTTTCTTCTGTGCTTTGAATGCTTTAAGACAGCCAAGACTTTTGAGAATCCACGTTTTCCGGCTTCCCGTTGGAGCAGCTAGCTGTTATGGTCTAACTTGGCAAATATAATTTCAGAAATTTAATGATGAAACTTTTGGAATAAATTTTTAATTTCTAGTACCGGATCTCCACGAAATTTGTATTTTTTCCGTGCTTTTCCGTAGTCGCTTTCTTGAAGGGCCACAACAAAATGTTGTTACGATGCTTTAGAAAAATTATGCACTGAAATTACATCTTTGGAAATTCACCAATGGCAAGTTTATTCAATGAAATATTCCACCCAGACATAATGAGCTCGAACTCTGGTATCCGTCAAGCAGTTTTTGTGTGTACTTTTCAGGGGTGTCGTTTTTTTATTTAATTTTTCGTGGAATAAGGGGAAATTTTGGATTTGGATTGGACAAATATCTAGCACAGTGATACTCAAACTTTTTAGGCTGCCTCCCTTTTCTAGGATTTGGCTTTCAAAGTCGTTGCAAACAATTTCATAAGCTGAATTTCCAATACTTCCAAAAAACACAATATATAAAGTATCATTTTTTTTACAAAAATTCGCAAATTTTGTATTCCACAAATTGGCCATGTTTTGTATTTACAGACTTCTTTTAAAAAAATGTCGAAAAGGGGAATTTGTCATGATTTTTCGATGTTTCTTGCATGATCGGGTATGGTTTAATATAATTTCTGATCTAGATGACGTAATGTTGTTTGTTTTTGAGTTAATGTTTGTCTCGCGATTTTCTTACAATTTTTGTCAAAGACGAATATTAAACACCATGATTTCTGTGTGTTGACTACTGGAACCAGGGGCGTTAGGAAGGCATTTTTCTGTACCATACATAGCACTTATTTATTGCTTGAAACGCTTTTTAGACACCCAAGAATCTTGAAAATCTATGTTTTCCGACCAGACCCTCTAACTCAGGGTGGTCCAAACCTCGGCCCGCGGGCCACATGTGGCCCGCCGCTTCATTTTCTGTGGCCCGCGTCACATTCGGAGAATAATCAAAAAATCGTATTGTGTTGTTTCGTAATAAAATTAATAAGAAAAATCTTTTGACATATTGTTGCATCACTAATGTCACTGAATTGACTAGTGTTATGGCTAGCCGAGGCAAATAGCGAAGTTAAATGATGTGCTTGGCAGTCCAAATTATTATCTGGCTTTCTATCTTTTTGGTCAGAAATATATGCTAACAATACAGGCATCATTGGAAACCTAAAATCGAATGTTTTGTATTGCACTGTTTACCTATTCTTGGCACTATTGTGGCCCGCGAACAATGCAGAAATAAATTTGTGGCCCGCGGAGCCCACAACCTTGGACCTCCCTGCTCTAGCTCCTACAGTCTAACTCAGCAATTGGAAGTTTCAGAGCCCCCCCCCCCCTCCGTTTGTAATTGATAGTTTCGGGCCCCTGTTTAAGAGTCTCGCGATAAAATGTCTTTGAGTCAAGTCTGGCAGTTCGACGAGTTCGAGTCACAGGGCTGGATTAATCATTAAGCAAAATAAGGGTTAAGCTCAGGGCACCAAGACAAATTTTCAAAGTCAATTTTCAACGGTGCTTCAATGTTTCTATTTAGCCAGACGCTGAATTTTTGCTTATTTTTGCTTCGTTCTCAAGTATCATGTTGAACTACAATAAATGTCTGTGGGTTTTAGAACCAAAACTAGTGCCATTTTCATTATTACTATGTTTTATATATGGGGCACCAAAGTTTTTATTGTTCAGGGCCTATAAAACGCTGCTTGAGCGTAGGTATATTCTATATCAGGGCATGTTTCTATATCCCTAACCTGGTACACATACTACGTTCCGGTGTCCGCCATCTTGGTTCACATGCTTCGGGAGTACCAAAGTATCGCTCGTGACTTACACTTGGTAAACACGGTGATGTGTAATTAGTGAGGAGTATTCGGCTTCAAGCCTCCCCTATCATTGAATCCCCACTGCTTTTAACAACTGCTGTAACCAGTGGTGGGATTTAAATTTTTTGTCAGCCGGTTCCATCACAAAAGTCATATTTTTCAACCGGTTCTGTTACAAACAATACAGTCTGTTCTGTTACAAACACAACATTGACAGTAACCAGTAATTCTAACCGGTTCGCTGATTTATAAAATTCTGTGAGACGGTTCTATAGAACCGGTGCGAACCGGCTGAATCCCACCGCTGAGCGTAGATATATTCTATATACTTCTATTCAGATTATGGAATATTCCACCGAAAGGGTTTGTCTGCGTTTTAAAGAATAAACCATTGATGCGAATAGTGCTGATATTATTGCGACTTGCTTAGTGGGTTGAAGGTCGAATTCCTTCTCCCTCCCCCGTTTTGAAATATAAAAAAATCGGTGCTCCTGAAGTATGCGCATCAAGATGTCGCATAACCTGAACCCCAACCTGGTACACAGCCTGAGTTCAGGTTGTGCGCCATCTTGGTGCGCATACTTCAGAAGGTCTAAAAATTCTGTATCATACATAACATTTTCGTTGCTTGACACGCTTTTTAGACCCTTAAGACGCATGAATACCCACGTTTTTCGACTTCCGGCCCGACCTGCTAGCTGTTACTGTCTAACTTGACAATTACAATTTAAAAAATAAAACTTCGGGAATGAATTTTTTTAATTTTGGTTCCAGACTGAACTGACTTAATAATAATTACCCTGCTGCATTTTGGAACCAGTTGGGACTTCCAATGTTCTTCAGCAGGGCTCGTATTTCAAGCGATCAGGACTGGGGTGAACAAGATTTTGGAAACCAGGGGTCAAAAATTTTGTCCGCCCAGACTGGTGGGCCATATATGTGTGACGTAAAAAGTTACATTTTAGGAAAATAATTTTATTTACAGTGTTACAAAAGTAAAATTTAAAAACAATAAGCATCGTGCCAAAACTAAATTTAATCTCAACAAATTCCTTGAGCTATTCTTTAGCGTAAACATCAAAATTTGATTTTAGTTTGGTTGTGGCAGCTTCAGGCGGACCAGACTGAATTACTCAGCGAGCCGAATTTGGCACACTGGTCGTATTTTGCCCATGTCAAGATTAGAAATGCTACAAAATTCCATTTAAAAAAAATCTTGTCCACACACCCTCACCGCATTTCGTCAAAGAGCTGAAACAATTTCCTTTGGGATGCTGAAATAGCAAAACTTCTTTATGAAGAGTCGTATTACTATTTCCCATTCATAAAATACTTGTTAAATATAAGCCCGTTATAGTACTATCGTGCGTGGGGGTAAGATGTAGCGCTTCTATTGTTTGGTACATGTATAGCAAGTGTAACTCGATCAGTTTCTTTGTATTGGAATGGACAACTTAATATGAAAAATAGGCAGTAAAATTAACTCGAATATACCAGTATTTGCTATAACTGCTGTGTTTTCTTTTTGCGAAACAACAATAGGAAAGGGCTGTAACCAGTAACGGAATAAATTTTTAAAGACGGTCAATTCGTCTATTACTATTGTTTTGTACAACTTAATATGAAAAATAGACAGCGAGATTAACTCGAATATAACAGTATTTGTTAACTGCAGTGTTTCCTTTTTCGAAACGAGCCGTAATCAGAGGCAGGATTTTAAATTTTATGAATGGTTTCACTCCAGTATCGAACCCTCTAACATGCCTAGCAAGGGTATGGCAATCACTTTCTCAGTATTGGAAAGGCCACTTGCTATGGATAGTATGTAGTTTGTATTTCCATTTCCCATTCATAAAATACTTGTTAAGGCCGATCACAAATATAGGAGTGTTATGGTACTATCATGCGTGGGGATAGGATAAGATGTATTCTATTGTTTGGTACATGTGTAAAAATTGTAAAACGTCAGTTTCTTTGTGTTGTGAAGGATAATTTAATATGAAAATAGGCAGTAAAAGTTACTAGAATGTACAGGTATTGGGTTACTGCTGCAGCATACGAAAGTGATGTAACCACTAGTGGGATTCAAAAGATCTCACTAACACACGGGTTCTCACTAACATGCCTAGCAAGTGTGTGGCGAACATTTTCTTTGTATTGGAATACCTTAATATGAAAAGTAAGCAGTAAAATCAACCCGGATATACCAGTATTTGTTCACTGCTGTGTTTGCTTATTGCGAATCGGGCATACGAAACCGCTGTAACCAGTAGTAGAATTTAAAAGTTTAGGAACGTAATATCAGATTAGAATATGCTTGTTTAATATGAAAAAAAGGCGGTAAAAGTTACCCGGATATACAAGTATTTGCTTAAAGCAAAAAAGGCATACGGAAGCGTTGTATCCACTATCCAGTACTGTAAGGATGAACCGGTTCGCTTTGGTATTAAACTCACTAAAATGCCTGCAATTATTTTTCAGTATTAAAAAGGACAACTTACTGTGGCAAGTATGTAGTAAAATTAACTAAAACATACCAGCATTTGCTCACTGCAGTGTATTTATGCATGACCTCTTAAAACCATTTTCATATCTCGGCCTTCTGGGCTGGGCAGATATTGTTGATATTTATTCCAAGAAGGGGAAGCCAATAAGACGGCTTAACGACCAGACATAATTGAGATCGGTCATAGAAATAATGGCGCTTCAGAAGCATGTGTACCAATATGAAAGTAGCTAATTACGTTTGCCTATATTACATCAAGTTGTGTGAAGGGACTGAAACCTATGGACAGGGGGTATATTCACTTGGCTGACACAGACAGTCCCCGAACTCGTAATAAAACTAAAATAAGGAAAATCGGAATAAAATTATGGTCTAACCCTAACCTGATACACACACTACGAGAGTACCGAAATAATTAACCAGTTGCTGCAGAAACAAAGTCATTGAATCAACAAGGTAAATTCCTTCTCATGTGTCACATATTTATCGCATGTGCGAGAACGAAATAGTTCGTTCGCCGCAGGTTTACGAATCAATAGCGCCATCTTACGGGTACAAAAGTATTCAGTTCATTTATTCAGTTGAATGTGGAAAGGCGAATTTTTATAAATCAATCAATCAATCAAATCGTTTTTTATTCGTCATTCCGATAAAATATAACAAAATGAAAACAAGAAGAATGAAAAAATATGTGTACAAAATGACGGGATAACCGCGAAATGACCATTCGGTCTACTTGTCAGCGGCAACCTTAAAATAGCTCAAAACTTATGGCTACAAAATTGGCACAGCGCGAAACGTTTTTATGCGAGAACAGCATAATCAGGAATAATTTGGAACAAATGGCATAGCGGCAATACAAAAACACAATAAATTAGTTAACGCGTTGATACGATGCACAGAAGTCCTCAGCAGATATAGGTGCAATATGTTTTTGCTGGGCAAGTAGCCAGGAGCGTAAGCAGCCCAAAATAAGGGGGGAGGGGGCAATTTTTGGTATAATGACGCAATACGCCCTTTTGCTCCAAACAAGGCTAGATAAAAGTAGCAACTGATGTCCAACAATACCTTAAACTTGAAGAATCGCTTACAGACTTACCTCGCTGTTATGAAGTTATCCAATCTATATAAACGCGCAATTTCGTCCATCTCGGTTGGTTCATTTGGCAAAAAGGATTATTAATAGCAGGCCATTTTTCAATGATTTGTTCAAGAATAGAGTAAAATGACGTTGTAAAATGTGTAAGAACTTATGTCTTACTGCAATTGCCGCAAAACCACTTTTTAAAAATGGAAATTTGGGGCTACATCTTTGCAAGTAGTAGCGAGACCAATGGTTATGCCGACGTGGAAAATTTACTCTCCGAATCATTTGAATGTCACTCCAGATCCTCGCCAATGAAAA